CGTGGCCCTGCAGCGCAACATCACGCTGCTCAACGGCGTGGCCATCATCGTGGGCACCATCATCGGCTCGGGCATCTTCGTGACACCCACCGGCGTGCTCAAGGAGGCGGGCTCGCCCGGGCTGGCGCTGGTGGTGTGGGCCGTGTGTGGTGTCTTTTCGATCGTGGGGGCGCTCTGTTATGCCGAACTGGGGACCACCATCTCCAAATCGGGCGGCGACTATGCCTACATGCTCGAGGTCTACGGCTCGCTGCCCGCCTTCCTCAAGCTCTGGATTGAGCTGCTCATCATCAGGCCCTCCTCGCAGTACATCGTGGCGCTCGTCTTTGCCACCTACCTGCTCAAGCCGCTCTTCCCTTCCTGCCCCGTGCCCGAGGAGGCCGCCAAGCTCGTGGCCTGCCTCTGCGTGCGTAAGTACCCGCGCGGGACCCGGGCCATCCCTTATCCCTAGCGCATCCCCGGGCCCCTGGCCACCTTCACCTCCCCGTGTCGTTTCGCTCCCCCAGGCCAGCCTCGCGGCTCTAGGGTCAGGTCTGGAACCCACGTGCGTCTCATTCATTCGGTTACGCGTCGCCTCCGGAATTCCGCTGCGACAGACTGCGGGGTCCCTGCGCCCAGCCTCTTGTGGGCGGTTCACTTCCCCACCTGGTCCACTCAGATTCGGTGGAGCTGAGCAATATTCTCTTTCTCTTGCAAGGCCCACGTGGAGTGAAACGCGAATTTCCTGTTTGAGCTCCCCAGTGCTGTTTATGGAGACAGAATGCGTTTTAAAGATTTTCTTCATTCATTTCTTCTCTGCAAACTAGCTTATCAGGAATGAGCCGAGGCTGACTCATACAAAAAAACATAGTAATAAAATTCTCTGTCGGCAGCCGTGTTGAATCCCCTAAAGATTGCCTTCAGTAGTAAAAGAAGGGTGCTTGACTGTAGATTAAATCTGTGTGTATTGGGGTGGGTTTGGGGACCCCAAATTGTGCTGACAGCCACTGGCCATAGTCCTAATGTTGGTGGGCACTGTGTTAGTGTATTGGTAGGTGTGGTCCTAGTATGTTGGTGGGCATGTTCCAGGTGTGTTGGTGGACACATGTTATATAAAATTTCCTGGGGGCCAAAGAAAGGCTGACAATATCATTACATTGAGAGTTTATTAAGGAAACTTATATAGGAGGCACACCTTGGGCATTGGCAAGATGACATGGCACTAAAGAATTACGTAGGACAGGGCAGGGTGGAAAGGGGTCCTGGGGTGTGACCTGCCCCAGATAAGTCGAAAACACTTTATTACATACTGGCCCAAATCTAGCTGGATCTAGCATGAAGGTCCAGCAGTGGTCAGGCTGCGGGTCCCTGTCATGGAACAGTCTCTCCTCCACACTATGGTGTTAGTATGTTGATGGGCATGGTCCTGGTACGTTGGTAGGCATGTGCCTGGTATGTTCTTCACCAAGGAGTGAACCAGGTCGGAGAAAATTGCTGCTTTGCAAAACAGTTTTCTTATGGGATTTCAGGAAAAAAATTATTTGTACCAAATGTAATGTGATTTTCTTTTTGGCTGTTGGCAGTTTTTCCACCTACCCCTTGGCCAACCTCTAGAGAGGCTTGCAAGATGGAAGGTAAGTGTCCTGCTTTCAGAGCTGCCACCCTGAGGATTTGCCTGAATCTCAGTCATGCATATAAGTACAGAGATAGCAGGGTACATTCATTGTTTCAGGTCCGAGCTGTGAAACTCAGGAACTGTGCGGCTACTTGAAGTGGCTGCTGCCTGGCCATGCCTGCTGGCCTTGTTGGAGTGTGTGGACGGAACTGGGGCAGGTATTTTAGAACTTTGAGACACACTCTGGAAAGTGGCGTATCCAGAAGGCAGAACTCAGCGCAGCTCTGTTTGACTGCCGGCACTTTCCTGAGACCCTGACAGGCAGGCAGTCACACTGGGTGAAGGGACAGTATTTGCCTTTTGAGGGGGGTCTCAGTGATATGGATCTCAGCTTTAAAAACTTTGGTCTAAATCTAGGGATAGTTGTAGCAATAGTCTGTGTTGTCTGAGAATAGGAAAACCTCTTGCTTCTGATGGGCTTTGAGATGAGAGTTTTATGGGATGATGCATCGGGGCTGGCTAAGGAAAAGCCCCTCTAAACGCAAGATGACTTTGTTGGGTTGTTTTTTCATTAGGAGAATTTTAATTGTCCAATTTTCATCATTTCTAGATACGATATAATGTTTGGGCCCAGTAGTACGTAATGAAACAGTATCTTTAAAGGGCCCCCCTCTCTAGTCTTTAAAAAAATGGATCCCTACTGCCCTAGCCGGTTTGGCTCAGTGGTTAGAACGCTGACCCTCTGACTGAAGGGTCCCAGGTTTGATTCTGGCCAAGGGCACCTACCTTGGTTGCAGGCTCCATCCCTGGCCCTGACTCTGACTGGGCCCTTGCAGGAGGCAACCAATCGATGTGTCTGTCACGTCAGTGTTTCTCTCTCTCTCCTCTCTCTCTTTCTCTCTCCCTGTCTCCCACTCTCTCTGAAAAGCAATGGAAAAAATATCTTCAGGTGAGAATTAAACAAATAAAAATTTAAAAAAATAAATAAAAATGGAACCCTTACTTTTTTAAACTTCTGGGTTTACGCAGGTAAATCCTTAGATAGATTCTAGAGGGCTGCAGTGGATATGTTCTGGCCAGCGCTCCAGGTCACTTTTGTTCTGGCATTGCCAGCCCAGTGGGGCAGGTTATGCCAATAGCACCCCTTTCGGTAGGGGTGAGGGTGGCCTTTTCCATGTGTTGATTGGCTTTCGTAGCTCTTTCTTTGAACCTCCTGTGTGAGTGTGTGATACATGTGTGTACGTGTGTGACTTTTTCTGATGGAAAGAGAATTTTCAGTAACACAGAGGTGTGTGCCATTTGCAAGAGCAAGTGCTAGTCTAAAGCCTTGCTGGGTCTGGAAACGGACACGGACTTGTCCAAGGCTGAGAGAACTCAGCCTGCTGGACTGGCTTGGCTTTTCTCACCTCATACAGTCAAACCTCTGTTCTTGAACGTCTCCCATCTCCAGCCCTGGTCAGGGTGAGTGCAGGAGGCAACCAATTGCTGTGCCTCTCACATCAATGTTTCTCTCTCTCCCTCTCTCTCCCCCTTCCACTCTCTCTGAAAACCAATGGAAAAAATATCCTCAGGTGAAAAAGAAGAGAAAGGGTGCTCTGTTTGCACCACTTTCTTCCCAGACCCTATCCCTGTGGGTGTGTGCCCCAGGGTGGCTTTCAGTGCTGGTGCTTTAGGAAAGGGCCCTGGGGCCGCTCTTTCCGGTGATGTCGTGGGTTCTGGAGCAGTTTTCATTTTCCAGGTCGATCTTTTCAGTCCCCTGGGCTCACCCCACAGCAGTTTCTTTCTGCTTGTTAAAAAGTTGCGCTGTGAAGTGGGTTGCCTTTGATGCTTAGAATGATCCTGGGGACAGTATAAATGGGGAAAGAATTCCCTTTTCTTGTAGATCTGACAAAGAAATGACGAGATGGGCCCTCTTTGATAGCATGGCTAGGCTATTTTCACTTTTTTAATGAGTCAAAAAGGTGAAGAGCTAGCTCCGTAACTCCTTCTTGACGGCCATGTGGAATTTGATATAAGACAGGTTTACATGGGTCATTTATTGCTTAATGAAAACTTGTTAGTGGTTGCTGAAATCAGGTGAGTGTGGGATCTGCGTGTGACGGTCTTTCGGGTTGGAGTTGAGTCCTCGCCAGCAAGGTTTGCCTTGGACTGTTTATCCTTCCTGGGCCACTTTCTTCATAAAATGTCTGGAGAGGCCCCAGCTGGGGGCTCATGAGGGCCAGCCCAGGGCAGAGTCTTGTATGTGAGGGCCCCTGTGGTTCGGAAAGACAGCGGTGGCCTCAATTGGTCCTTTATCTCCAGGGAGAACCTCTTGGAAGAAGGGATCTAAATGGGTCTCCTTCTCCCTTTGCTGAGTTGTGAAAAAGACTTGGAGCCCATCTGAGCCGTGGTCGCTCCTAGCCAGGATGCATAGGTGTCAGGGAAGTGGCTCCAGCACACCACTGGTTGCCTGCTCTCTTCTTCCCACTCCTAGTGGGGGGAGGGTGGGACCATGCCTGCTGGGACAGCCCCCACACTTGGACTTGCTAGTTACTTGCAGCACTCAGGTTGGTCTGCTGGTGACTGAGAATGGGACTCCCGGTCACTGGGTCCCCTTCCTGCGTGGTGGCCCTTCATGAGGTCTGAAGAGCACTTTCTGCCTTCTCTTGTAATGAGACAAATTGGCCAGGGCTCCCCTAGACTGAGTTAGGGGCCCCCACCACGACCCTTACTTGGGCAGATACGCATGGTGTGGGGTTGCGGGGGTCCTCAGCTGTTGTTCCTCTGGGGACCCGTGGCCTGAAATATTTTCCACCTGGTGTCAGGTAAAGAGCCTACGCTATGCACGTGGACAGACCTGGCTTCTGTTTTGAGAAATTCACTGGGACTTCCAAGCCTCAGTTTACACATATGTGAAATGGGGATTTGTCACAGCCCTGCCTGGGTGTTTTTGAGGACTTGAGGTCATGGTGTATTTAACAATGGCACATGGGGACCCAGTCACACAGTGGTTGTGACTTACGCTCCACGCTGCCCTCTGTCTGATGTTCACCTATAACATTTCGAGCTGCCCTAGAACTTGCTCTTTTCTGGTTTAGACAAAAGGAGGAAGGAGAGAGGGTGGAGAGGAGGGGAAAGCTGCAGGTGCCTGCCAGCGCTTCCCACTGGGGTCTGAGCTGACGAGATGCCCATCGCACAGGCGTCAGCCCCACTGGCCTCAAGGGCTT